GAACATGTCCTGGCATTTTATATCTTATAAGAGCCAACTAACACAACTAACCCAACTAACACAAGTGTATTCCTGTTGTTTTGCTTTAATTACAGCTGCAGAAGAGGGTGTGTCTTGAAGAAAAGTGTCAGTATGATCTTCATAAAGCAAGATCAAGAGGATATGTGCATGTGCATGTGCGTATGTGGCTGCTTTCCCAGGAGACTATAACAGTTAAGTGCAGAAACTTCAGTTACATCATAGGGCAATCCCCAGGTTTATGCTTTTTGTTATCCCTCTCTTTTTTTCCCATCATGATCACAGTTAGGATGTGTGTCTTTGTCCTTGAGGAGAGCAAAGAAAGGGAGAGCCAGGGAGACTATTCAATGCAGTCACCAGGCTTGAGGAAGAGAAACCCCAAAGGATAGTAGAAAGTGCACACTCCGAAACAAGAGAGGAATCTGAGTATATAGATCACAGTTTCTCTAAATGTACACACTGCTAACTCCCATTTAGGGTCATCTGATTTGTTTTAAAAAATGATTTCTGGTTCACCTTAGACTAACTGAATGAGATATCTGGGTGAGGGTCCCAGGAACTTGCATTTTTCTAAGTATACCAGGTGCTTCATGAAGCACTTACCTTTGAGATCCACTGCTCTAAGGCCTGGGTATGAGAGAGTATTGGGGAGGAGACTACTGGCTTCCTAAATGGTGGAAAGGCTTGATGTAGCATATCTGTACATTTCCATAGGAGTGAAAGGAAGGAGAAAATATGTAAAGTGAAGCTGGAGTGTAGGTAGGGTACACGGAACAGATAGTGGGGTGCCGATTTGCTTTAGGAATCATGAGCCTAGATGATAACTGACACCACGTAGGTGGATTAGGTTTCTGCTAAAGCCAGAACTTTTAAAATCAGCATAAAAGTACAATATAAAGTCCCCGCCATGTTAGCCCTTTTAAGATTTATGGAGTATCAACTACAGGAGAACATTGTATTAACTAGCTGTCAGAGAAAACAAGAGCTTATCATGTACTTGAAGTTGGACAAAATAAATCTGTGATTCATATTGAAGAATGGCTACAAACCAACATAAAAAATAAATGCAAATTCATTGATTTAACAAAAACTCATGGTGTGCATTACAGGAAGATTCTTTTCTAGACTCCATAGGATGTGGTTTATCAGAAGGTGACCTGGGTGAGTTTAAAGGTAGATTTGGTAAGAAGGTGAAAACTGAGATTACAGAGAGCTAAGGCACTTAGCCTAAGATTTAGAGTCACAGAGTTTAGAAGGAGGGTACATAACTTCAATTCATTCAACATTCCACAAATATTTATTGAATGCCTATTGTGTTGTAGGTGCTGGAAATATATCAGTAAATAAAACAGTTAAAAATCTTTGCCCTCATGGAACTTATATCCTGCTGGGAGAGAGACAAGAAAACAAAATATTAGGTCATATGTGCTCTAGAGAAAAAGGGAAGAGATAGGATTTGGGAGAAGCGGGTGAAAGATGCACTATTGGATGATCTTTTGAGAACTCATTAGAAGACATTTGAATGAAGACTTGTAAGTAGATGGAGGAAGCTTTGTGGATTTATAGTAAACGTGTGTGTTCCACTTTCTCTCTTTTACCTCTTCCACCTGTTACCAATTGCTATGAGAGGAACAAACCTTGCAGATTACAGCCTACATAGCGGATAAGAAGAAAGGGTGACAGTTGGTATAAGGCCTAGGTTATCAGACCTAACAGTTAGGGTTTAAAATAATTGTTTTATTCATGTTTTATTATGTGGACAATTTACCTTTTCAGGTAGTTTATCCACGCAGACTCTGGGTATGTTAGCCGGTTTAATCGCTCCATTGTTTAACGTGTTAACTGATTAATCTCAATCTTCTAATTAATGTTTGAATGTTTCTCCTCAGGTCTAAACTATCAAGGGCATTTCTACTTAAAAATAACTTGTCTTCTGCTTATGCCGTCGAGGGCAATAGGTACGTTTGAGGTCCCTGTCCAGGGAGACCCGTGATGGCTTCAGAATAGCCATAGAAACAACAGAAAACCACAGACACCTCTCCCCTATAAGATTAGTGAAGAAAGGGTTTGTCAGGTTAGTTTGGGCCTGGGGCTAGGTTCCCAGCCCGAGTGTTGAAGCTGGTAATAACCTACCTAAGATTAGAAAGCCCCAGGGTGAGGGACTGACAGCTCGGTCTCTTCCTCCCGCATTTGGTGACTGCACGTTTATGTCCATGCAGTAAATGACAGTAAATGAATGTGCACAAGTGTAGGCCGACCCCGAGGGTTGGCGGGGTTTCGCAGCTTCTCGGTGTGGACCCGACAGGGTTGCTGCGGCGTCACTTATGGTGTCTCTCTGATGTGCGTGTGGCCGACCGAGAGCCGGCCAGGGTCCGAATCTGCGGCTGCGGGTCTGGCTTTGCGGTGAAAGCCTGGGGGCGGGTCGTCGCGTGGGTCCAGCAGCGCCCCCCGCGGAGACACCGCTCAGACCCTCCCGCTGCGCCGGCCGTGCTCCACCGCCCTCCGCCACCGCCTTCCTCCGCCGCCCGGGCCCCCGCTCCTCCTCCGCCGGCCCGGCCCGGCCCGGCCTCCTCCTCGTCCCCGGCGGCTCTCGCCGGCTCGCGCTCTTCCCTCTTCCCACACCGCCCTCGGCCGCTCCCTCCCCGCACGCCCTTCTAGAGAGGAATCGAGCGCCGAGCGCGTCGATAGCTCTGCCCTCTGCGGCCGCCCGGCCCCGAACTCATCGGTGTGCTCGGA